GAGCCCAGGCGCAGGCCCCGGCGGAGGGCACGCGTCCCGCATTTTTTTACCTACTTTGGTGCGATTCCCGCCATCCTCCGCTGATTGGCCCAGCCCGGCACGTCGGGCCCTCAGGCGAGGGGGAACTGCACATTTTTCCTTCTTCCCGAGGCGACTGTGGCCGTTTAGAGTGCTCTGTGAGTCACAGCTAATTTCAGGTCTGGGAAAAAACAAGGAGTGATTTATTTATCTTTGGGAACAGCTGGGGAAGGAGGCCCGGCAGTCCGCAGGGGTGTGGCTGGGAAACGGCGGAGTTGCCTTGAGATGGCGCCAAGCCCCGCTGCTCCGTCTTGGAGGTTTTTAATTTGGGATTGCTTCTTTTTAATGGACGGTTACATCAGAAACACAGTTTTCAGAGGGTCGGAAGGAATCCCAGAGTTTTTCCTGAGGGTGTTTTTGTGAGGAATCAAGGGAACAAAGAATTTACAACCAGGATGATTACTTTTAAGTTTTACTCAATTTAGGCTACCGAAGAACATCCTGGCCTCTACCAAAACTATCTTAATTCCCCAAATGTGAGGCTTTTGGACAAGATGGTCAGTATGGGTTTTGTTTTTCCTGGGCGCTATATAAAATCTAGATTATGTGTGGCTTTTATTCTGGCCACTCAACATAAAAACTCATTTCTCGTTACTGTCCTGTGTTTTTTCTTTCTTTTTAAGAAAGCAAGCTGTGGCAATTCTAAGCCTTTACCACCTGCCGCAAAATTTTTGGCACGCTAGAGTACTAGTTTTAAACTTGAAAGAGAACTTACTCAAAGTCAGATTTGTGTGCCCCAGACTCAGTTTCTGGCAGTGTATCTAGGGTAAGACCCAAGAATTTGCATTTCTGTCAATTCCCAGGTAATGCTAATGTGGCTGGTTGTATGTCACACTTCCAGAAGAAAGAATCCACCTGTATCCAGCTGTAGCTGGAACCCTTTGTTTCTCTGTCTGCCTGGGACTCAATGCCACCGTCCAAGTCTTCAAAGACTTCCTTTCTAGTCCAAAATTGAATCCTGCTCATTTAAGGACACAAATCGGGCCTGCTCCAGCCTCTCTTCTGCATTTCCTCCTCCATCCTGCCACCAAGGTTACATCCAAACATAAGAGTCTGATCCTGTCACTTCACTGCTTAAAATTTTCTGTGGCTTCCTCCAGAATTCTCAGCAGGTCAGTCTGGCCCTTCTGCCTGTGGCCTCTGCCTACCTTTTCTGTCCTGTCTCCCACATCTTCCGCAGTCCCCAGTTTCCTTCCAGACTAAACATCTCATTCCAGAACCCTTCTTGCGCTGTCATAATCAAGGGCCTGCTGGTATCTCACCCTGGAATCTTCATATCACCCCATCAGTCGGGAGACCTCTGACCACTTCCCAAGGGAGCACTAGTGGGCCCTTCTATAGTCCCACAGTTAGTTCATCTCTGCTCAAAGCTTGACAAGCAGGCAGACCACCTGAGGATCTTGTTAAAATGCAAATTCATGGATTTGGAAGTGGTGTCTCAGATGCCCTCAGGTGATTCAGATGCTGCTAGTTCTCAGATCACACCTGGTACTGAGGCCTTACATTTTCCCTGCTGTTAGTATAGCTGTAATTTATATACACATGTGCTACGGACACCACCAGTTTAGACTGAGAGCTCCTTGAGGCCAAGGACTGTTTGGGAGGCATTGTATATGAACTGGCACAGCCCCTGGAGGTGTCTAATACATGTTTGTTCAGTAAGTGAAGTATCTGTGAAGCTGTTTTATAACTCACCAGGCAAACTTTTATATCAGCTCATTGTAACGTAAGATGAGCCCCCATTTCTCTTAAGAATCCATTGAACTTTAACCTTTTTCTTTACACGTTAGTTTCCTAGATATTTTTGTTTCTTCTCATCCCACAGAGGGAAAAACGTTTTAATATAAAGTCTCCCCTTAAATATGAGACTGAGTGGATTCCATTTCTCATTTTGAAAACATCTTCACAATATGTGAACATATAGGCACTTTCATTTAAAACCATGAATGTGAGTGTCAGGGGAGAGGATACGTTAATGAGGCACTTGAAAGGAGATAGGTGTTAATAGTCTGGAAAAGCCTTTTTTGTGAGAGGACATAACCCTGTCAGTATATTCTGCAGAGTAACTATTTTTAGCATCTCCCCATCTCTTTACAAACTTACCAGTTCTTTCTTCCCTACCCTTATTTACGTCTGTAGTCTTTTCTAAAAGTAATTTTAATCATATAGTAAGATATGAATAGGGAGGAGGGTATAGCTCGAGTGATAGAGTGCATGCTTAGCACGCATGAGGTCCTGGGTTCAATCCCCAGTACTTCCTCTGAAAATAAATAACCTAACTACCTTCCTCCCACCAAAAAAAAAAAAAGATATGAATATATCCACATTGTGTGGTGTCCTATAGCTTGCTTTCCGATTTTCTTGATTTTCTGCCATCTGGATTTGTCTGTCTCTGACAGAGTGGCATTGAAGTCTCCAACTGTGATAGTGGATTCAGCTGTTTCTGCTTGAAGTCCTGCCAGTTTTGCCTCACTTAGGTGTTGGGAGCGTGCAACGTGAAGAATTAAGTCTTAAAGGAGAACTGCCTCCTTAATGTTATGTAACGCCTTTCTTTGTCCCTTTGTGTTCCCTCCTTGTTCTGAAGTCAGCTCTGTCTGAAATTGATGTAGCTACACCTGCTTTGTTTTGATTCATGTTAACATGGTATCTTTTTCTCCATCCACTTACTTTTAGTCTGTATGTATCTTTATATTTAAAGTGGGTTTCTGGTAGACAACATGTGGTTGGGTCCCTTTTTTTTTTATTATTTGGTGCATTCTCTATCTTTTAACTGGTGCATTTACACCACTGACATTCAGATTTATTATTGATATAGTTGGATTAATACCTGCAACGCTCATGACCGTTTTCTCATTGTTGCCCTTGTTCTTTGCTCTTATTTTTATCTTATCCTTAATCCTCTATAGGTAAGATTTTTTTTCCCCTTTCAGGACTTTTTCCTTTATCTTTGATGTTTTTGTAATTTGAAAATGATATGCCTAGGTGTAGTTTTTTGGGGTGTTACCCTGCTTTGTGTTCTCTCAACTTTGAGTCTGTGGTTTGGTGTCTGACAATAGTTTGGGGAAACTCTCAGTCACCGTTTCAAATATTTCCTCTGTTCCTTTCTGTTTTCCTTCTCCTTCTGGTAGTCCCATTACCTGTATGTTACACCTTTTGTACTTATCATACAGTCCTTAGATTTTCTGTTCCGCTTCTCTTTGCTTTTTGGCTTTGAGGATTCTTTTGCTAAATCCTCTAGAGCAGAGGTTCTTTCCTCAGCTGTGTCCTGTCTACGAAGAAGCCCAACAACGGTGTTCTTTATTTCTTTGTGGGTTTTTGTTTGTTTGTTTGTTGTCTTTTAGCATGCCTTGTAAGTTTTGCTTGATAGCCGGACATGATGTACTGGGTAAAAGGAATTGTGGTAAATAGGCCTTTAGTAGCCTGGTGGTGATGTAGTGGGCAGGGGGCGCGTTCTCTATTCCTGCCATTTGGTCTCGGTCTTTTTCGGAGCCTGTGCCTCTGGACTGTGGACGGCACAAGTGTTTCTCAGTTCCGCCCCTCCCCCCAATCCAGGTTGGCTAGAGTGAGCTGGCGTTGAGCATTTCCCTCACCAGATCAGTTAGGCTCTGATAGGCTCCTGACTGGCTAGGCTCCGGTTAGCCAGCATCCCCTGAGGGCGGGCCTCGTTAAGGAGAACACAGCGCTTGGAAAGATTGCTCAGTGGTCCCTTGTCCCCTCCGCTGCTGGAAGCAGGAGGGGATTGTTCTCTCATACTTACTGTGGGAGCCTGGTAGAGC